ATATATATATTTTTACTATATACGTATGTGTTAATTTAATAAAAATCTCAATGCAAATGAAATTTAAAAAGATTATGGAAAAATTATAGTTCTATGAAATTAATCAATTGAGATATTTTCACTTTTAAAGGGTTCTATAGTTTTTTTGCATACCTAACGAGAAACTCTCTCAACAGGCAAAAGATGTCTCATGTTGACCTCTAGTAGCGTTTAACACACACACACACACACACACACACACACACACACATCTTTTACGCACGTGCACGTCCAATGTATACCTAAGTCAGATATGTGGTGGCGGGTCGTAACGGTTGTCGACGCTTTGACAGTTCGTTGTCGCTCTTTCCAATCATGTAGACTCATTCGTGCATTTAACGCTTCTGTGCCTTTTACCGGTTAATTCGGAAAAGAAAGATTCGCACCTGCAACACGTATCCTTTAAAGTTTATTCGTACGATTTTTTTTTTAATACAGATTTTATAAAAATGAAAAAAAAGTTAAATTTAACTCTCTAGTTTTTTTTAATTATAAATAAAATATCACTCCCTGATTTCCCTATTTAGACTTAGACTTATTGTCATAGTTTTCATATTTCAAAGTACCTCAAAGTCAAGTATACATAATTTTGAAAAAGGCTCTGTAATTATATATAAAAATTAACGTAAATGTATTAAAAATTATGTTCATAAAATTATATTTTAGAAATTATAAAGCATTGAATTATACATATAAACAGACGATCTCAACCTGCAAAGTTATCTATTCATCAAGTATCGTTTAATTATGAAAATGATTAGAGAATCAGATTAGAAAACCGGAATTTGAACAAAAAGATATCTTTGTAACAAAATCGCGCTAATAAGTGAAGATTATCGCGAATGATTACGTGGCCTTTCGTGCCGTCGATATCGGCATTTACGCATAATATCGACATACTATCACTTTCGATGTTTCGTACGAGACAGTTGGATCTTGAATCTTCCGTGTTAAAACGAGCGCAGAAGGAATCGATCGGTTTTGCACGAACGATCGCGCTCGAAATGTCTTAAACGATCGAGTGAAAGCAGATACCGCATCTTCGTCCTAGGTCTAGTTTTCGCGCGGTCACTTTGCAGACTTCTGTGTTCCATTCGAATGGCACGAGTTCCCTACTTTCTCAGATTATTTCGTTAATCACCATCGTCTTGATAATTGAGGCTCGTGCTTGCACTCGCGGAGAGAAAATAGAGGCCAAAGACGTTCCGACTTGTTTAATTAATTCAAATCGCGCTTATCCGCGAAAAGCGAATCGCGGAAATGAGGTTGAGTCGGGTGAACATTTTTTTCTCAGATCACAAGAAAGATCTTTCCTTCTCTCACTTATAAACTACTTTCAAAATGAAAATTCAGGAAGACAGGAAAATTCAGGTTGTCGACATTATCCCAAATAGTGGAATCAGTGGAAATCTATTAATACAATTATAACTGAATTTGAAATGAAGATCATTGGTCTCCGTCATAACTTTTAGCACCAAATTAACGCTCTAATAGACATTTCGGTCGTCATCAATCACCCACGCACGTGTGATCGATTAATAAGAGCATCAATCGTAGACAGTTCTCGCGACAGGTTGTCGAGGACGAAGAAGCCTCTATCAAAGTAATCGGGTCACCCAGATCCAATAATCAAGATCCAATCACGTCGAACTAAGCTTTCTCCGAGATCCTGTACGTGTGCGTGCGTGCGTGCGTGCGTGCGTGTGTGTGTGTGTGTGTGTGTGTGTGTGTGTGTGTGTGTGTGTATCTACCGTGCGTGTATATGCATAACTTCCGTCGCACGCGCACTTCGCATTCACGTGGCCTCGGCATTGACGGACGGCCAATGAACGCGGAAGAATTTTCGATTCTCTCGACTCGCGCCTCGCCGGAGGTCGAGGTTGACGGAGGATCTGCTCGGCGAGATCGGCGAGGATCTGTGCAAGATCCATGCGGCGAACGTGGGATCCCGTCGTGTTTTCCCGCGAGCATTTTTCCGTTTCTCCGGGAGAATTCCTCCGTGCCATCCTCTCCGCCGGCAGTAAAACACGCCGAGAAAGGACTCGTTTACCATTGATCGCCGCGGCAGATAGCCCGAAAAGTAATGTTCGCGGGAATGCAACGTTGGTTTTGCGCTGTCGGCGATCAATAAACGTAGCAACGAAAGCGCGTGAGAAATTTATGTACACACACACACACACACACACACACACACACACACACACACACACACACACACACACACACACACACACACACACACACACACACACTAATTTATTATATATATATATAAATAATTTTTATTATATTTATTATATATATATATATATATATATGATTTTAAGATAAATAATAAAAATCTAAATTACATGTAATATATATAATTAACAACACGTTATGGCTATAAAAAAAGTGGAATGAAAAGTGGAGGATTGGTACTGAGAAATATATTAAGTTCTCTGTTGATAGATATAATCGCCGACAGCGACCGGAAAATGTTGCGCGAAAACGAAACACTTGCAACGAAAGTGACTTCCGTGTATTCACGATCGTGCGTCGTAGGGCGTACGAAAGAATCGCACTTGAGCGTTAGCAACGTAATATACCGGTGTAACGTTCACACGATATGTTACTCATATAACGTGCGTAATTATTATGCGATACGTTATCATGAGTCAATCGATCCTGAATCAAGGTAGCTGCGCATAATGAAGCACGGTGTATGTTTAACCTCAAGTTTAACACTATATTTAAATAGTGCGTTTCATAATTATGGATTATAATAATAGGAGCATTATGCATTTGTAATCGGTTCCTGCGTTGTAAAAATTCTTAATGCATATGTAAAAGCAAGATGGGAACGTATCTGTGAATTTCTACTTTAAAATATTTATAACTTTATCATCTTTTATCATTTGTCACAAGTTTCTTCTCAATTGATAAAATTACCAAATCGTGAAATATTTTATTTAAATTTGATCAATTTCTTTCAAAATATGAATTTCAAATATTTATTCTGCCAAAACGGATCAAGCGGCATGATTTAAAATGCGAATGCGAGTCGCGTAACATAATTCTGGTACATTTAATATAATTAACATAATCACTCAATATTTAATGAAATTAACATAATTATGGTATATTTAATCGACATCGTATAAATTGACCGGATGTTCCGTAGTTTTTAGGTTAACAGGTGAGAGTATTAATAATCATTTCACAGCTCTTATGCCTGTGTGGAACAACAGTTCGTTTTAACGGATCGTATTAAAAATCAGAGCGGCACGAACGATCCATTTATAAACGAAATAATTTATATTTCATAACAAAATATAATAAAATTATCATTCACCAATTAAACAATCGCTATATTAATTATACAAAACTGTTCTCGTTATCGCAAATTATCTTCATCGAGCTCGAATAAAAATCGAATTTTAATGCCGCATCCTCTTGATCCATTAGCCTTTGAAGCCCTATTTTTAGAGCTCAAAGTATATAGATACATAAAATTAAAAAAATTCTTAACTTCAGAAAATCAGAATGTAGAATCGTAAGATTCTCAAACACGCGCGTTTTCACCGGCAAATCAAGATTGATTTAAATGAATGACGAATACTGTACGTGACACGTCACCCGATGGGCTTTATAATTTAAATAAGAGTTAACAAGGCCGCAATGGGGAATGGGACAGAATGTCGGCGAATTGGTAACTGGGTCACCAGTGCCTTCGTGAACCTGCGTTAAAGCAACCAGAGGTTGCTCGCCCGCCCCGTTCATTCTCGTATCGTCGCCGTTCCTTCTCATCGTCTCCGTTCTCCTCTTCGTCTTGTCTCGCCTCTCATCAAGGTCTTCACTCCTCCCGCCGAAGATACTCCGGCAGGTTCACCATCGGGTTCTTCCGATACTTCGTTCCCGTTCCTCCGCCTCGTCGTCCGCGGCTGTACGTCGTACGTCGGGCCTGTGTGACTGACTGTAACGGGATTCCGCAGATACACGCATGCAGCCTCGTCGTCTTGCACGTACATGCTCGCACCATGTCACGTGACCGTGAACCTCCTCAAGGAGGAAGAGATACATAGGTCCAAGGCGATGTTTGCTCCTTGTACATTTCGATAAATCGCGTGTGAAACCGTTGTGCGCGTTGTACACCGTTTGGAATTTTGAGGAATCGTCGAACGTGAATTTCAAAGATACATTCGTAGTTCCACTTAAAATTTGAACAGTACGGTTTGCCTTTACCTCTCCTCACCTGATGTAATTGATTCCATTTCCATTTTTATCTTTATTGTTGTTTCTAAATTGAATTGGTTACAAATTTATATTAACAAAGGTTATAAATTATAACCTTTTATACATTTTTCGTGACCTTTTGCTTCTCGCAGAAATTATTAATAAAACTACTTGAGGTGACATACACTACTTGCGTTTTTTTTATGTGCAAGCGTATATACCTACGCGATGTACAAGAAGCATCGATCCATGTTTATGAAATATATTGGTTAACCCTTTGTATATTCATTCCATAGTTAACATTATATTATCAATTAATATGTTCGTGTGTGTTCATGAATCAATAATTATAATTTGAAATGACGCGCTACATGAACCAAATATAAGTCATATTTATTTTATAATGGAAATATTTTTCACAAAATCTCACGAATAATATTTATCTTCAAATATACTCGATGTAATTAAATTAAATTTAATATAATTCTAATTTACAATTCTATTTGATGCAATATTACATGCTTCATTATTTTCAGCTTTAACATTGCAATCAATATCCATTTTATATGAATGATAATTATCTATCTGTATTACACCATTTAACCTTTTAATTAATTTTTGAAAATAGATCGTTGTATATGGTCAAATTGAGTTTTGAATAATAAATATTATTTAATATATACAGATTGCAAAATTAATAGTCATCAATATTTCGTAAGATAAAGATTAATGATTAAGACAGTTGGGAATTATCTTACGACTTCTAGTTTTCCTGGCATATTCTTTTACCGTTATGAAAGATAAACATGAATATCAATATGTAGATCTGATAATCACATCTAAAAGATTACGGCTGCTTAATAATTATCATATACTGAAGATGAAACCTAAAAAAACGCCATTTCTATTCGGTGTCACTCAACAGATGTTATCTTCACAAATTGCTCATTCAATACTTGAAAAGAGAGAAGTGATATAATTGATCAAATAAATCTTACATCGAAATGCAAATGCTATCTCTCAATTATTTTATATTTGAATTCACTTGTGTCATTATGAGAGTGGAGAAATTTTCTACCTGAAGTATAATGCAGATTTAATACATAGCGTAAGCAAGTTTGTATTTACAAAGAAAATTGTAACTTATACTCGCTTTTTCTCGTAGATATAAGCGCACATCTTTTGCGTCACCTTTTATCTCTCAAAGCCAGATTTAAAAATGAAGAGTACTTTAAGACCGTCGTTGAGCTGGTGCCAAGGGCCGCCTTTATAAATAAATTAACGTTGACTTAAAGCAGAACTATCTTTAGATTTGATAAGATTTTTTTTTAATTTTACTATCCTAAATGAATATTTTGCGACTGATATAAATCTTTTCAGATATAAGTTTTTTCTTAGTAATGTACTTAGTAATGTACTTTTCCATTACAGATGGTTGCTGGGAAAGGTATTGGTCTGCTGTTCGTCTTCCTTACTCTGACATGCGTTTTTTCTCACCCCTGGACGCCTCGAAACGAAGGTAATTACTACAGTTAATATTTACACACTTTCTGTATATTTTCATTAATAAGAACTGCTAAACATATTCATAATAACATAAATATTTTTTGTAGCTTGTAATATTAATAAATCTTATCTCTTTTCATTCCAAACGTTAAAAATATTAAAATTACTCTTACATTATGTAAAACTAAAATAAAGTCCAAGTCATTTTACATAATTTTTAAAATACACCTTTTCCCGCACGGTTAATCTTTCTCTTTTAGCACGTTAAAAGATAATGAATACATGAATAATCCGGAAACGAGGCAAACTCGGATTTCTACTTTTAAGAATTGTTCTCGCATATACATTCTCGTTAACATGCATGCCAGTATACGCGGCTCGTACAGCAAAATGATATGTTAAAGTCGGCGGTCATTACTGACACCGAATTCTACTTTCCGTCTTTCTTCGAGCAAAATCAACAACAGAGAGGTGGAGCCGAGGAGGAAACTTTTCGCCATATGCCATTTATTCCGGTCGCGCGTCGAGCGTACAGACGAGGTGAAATTCCGATTTTCTGCCGAGCTGCGCGAATATCGATGTCTCACGTACGCCGCTTTCGGTCCCTTCCGGCGAGCGTGAGAGGAAGGTCAAGGGTCGTCGGAGAAAAGCCACGGTCGGTGTTTCGCGTTTTAACGCGTCGCGTTTTTTACGAATTTTTGGCACGGCAAATATTGACACTGAATTCTACTTAGAATCTCAACTCGAAAGTCGTAAAAGAGATGTTTTCCATGAGTCTGCCTGTGTGAGACACATGAAAATTTTAAGAGACATGATTGAAAGCGGCACACATTGTTCAATGTGCAATGTCGTTCTAGATATACATAAATATTTTAGAGCATGTAACGAATTTCAAAATGTGGCATTAGTAATGACAGTGACGTCAAGTTATTTGTGTGAAGTGTTACATAATGAATTATTTCAATCTTAAAAATGTAAAAAGATGAGAAAATCTTATTTTTCTTGAAGAAACTTTTAAAGAAACTTTTTCTTGAAACTTTAAAAGAAACTTCAGTTCAAGAAAGTATAATTATATATTAGACGTTAATATATTTAGTATCGAATATTAAAAAGTGATGACGAACGATGATTATGTACAAGACTACTGGAAGGAAAAGATTGACTTCAAGCTTCTCATTAAACGCAACTGAAGAGACGGCGCGATTCTAGGACACTCTTCTTTATAACATATTGACAGCGAATTTTGGAATGTCATCTATCGAACACTTGAAGTTTTCAACGTTGCAAGTACGCTCTCTCCTAATATCATACAATTTTCTCGAAATTATTCTCGCAAGTTGGTGGATATATCAAACGTGCAACTGCATTTGAATACTCATTAGCGTGTAAGCGATGACTTTGCCCTATATGTCAGAAATTCACCTTTCTCCACTTTCGCGCGTTGATTTGTGTCAAGAGAATTTGTAGCTCACGCAATATTTGCAGTGACATTTACAGCTCTATAATAGTTTATGATGACATTTCTCACAGCAGGTGACGTTTCCTTTTCGCTTCATACTTTCGATCCATTTGTTGTAGCTATCTGTACGTGATCTATCAAAAATCAAACGCTTTCTTATTTTTGTCTTTGTTTCTATCAACAAACAATAAATAAATAAAACTCTGTATGTGCAAAATTTAATAAATAAAAAATATAGATGTTTATTACGAAGTTTAAATAATAAATTCAATAAAGCTGCAGTAAACTGAATGACTAACTAAAATAAAAATTTTTTGAATTATTTATTAGTATTGATAGATAGAATTATTAATAGATGAAATGCATAAAATGCAAATGTTTAAACGATAATAACGATAATAGATATTGTTTTATTTATTCTTTTGTAACGCTTACAATAGATAATTACTAGATATATTTGTCAATTGTTAATAATTATTGTATAATAATTATATATATAATAATGCAACTGTATGTATAAATAATACAAATAAATAATACATTAAATAATACAAATTGCAAAATAATTTTTTTAGAGATACCAACTTTCATACTTGTATTAATAATACCTGTATTATATTAGTTTTTATCTTATTCGTTTCCAAGTGCACATTATATTCCGTCTGCGTAGAAATATCTGCGGGAAATACATATGGGAGTGAAAAGTTTAATCGTAACGAGTTAATTATTACTACTATTTGTCCTCTAGATATATCTTGTCTACTGCATAATATTTTCTCATAATGGTACACTACAGTAGAATAAATGGAAGGCTATATACACCTCACACAAGAAATTGTGCCTCATCATCTTTATTGCAATGTTCGTTTAATGCCTTAATAAGCATTTTCTAAGGTATTCATTTTCTCGCGATCCGGTTATTAATTGAGATCAATATACCACCGACTGTATTAGTAGCTCTTTTTTTCTCTATGTAAGACACATCTGTTTAAAATATAAGACATAATCCATATAATTTGGATAAATATACATGCAGCAGTGGATCTTGGGAAATACTCGTGGAGTAATACTACACGTTCGATTTAATTTCCATCAATGATTCACGAAGCTCGTCATGAGGCTTTTGGAGGATCGTGCATATTTAATGCAACGCTCTCCTATTTTAAGCGAGACTCTATTATGCATAACATCGACAACGAGCGTTTAATACTCGTTGTTACATCATACGTCTTGTGATAATTAATCAAGCAGCACATGCTTTATGTTTTCATAAAGATCGCTCAGATTATTCGCTAACCGATACATCTTACACGTTGCAATATAGATATAATCACATCTTCACACACACACACACACACACACACACACACACACACACACACACACACACACACGGACGAGAGGGAAGATATTAATAAAAATCTAGGTACTATAAAAATCTTTCGTTAATTTCCTCTATCAAGGAAATTAACGAAAGAACGCGAACAATTTTTTAAGAAACAACATTCCTTTCTCCTCGTTCTTAAGCAAATCGATGTCGTTACGATATCTATTTATGCTCTTCTTACTTTGACTCGTTCGATTGCAACATCGATGGCTAAAACGGAATCGTTACAAGATAAACGACGTCCATATATATTTGGCCGACGTGTGAAACGGTTATTTAACGTCTCTACTGGCGGGTTGCATATCGCAACCAATAAATTCTCGATTCGATATTCGATTTCTCTTTGAGGGTGAACTGAAATTTGGGGCAGTGTCTCGAGCTACGTGAGCGCTCTTCCACAACCCAAATACCAAACGGAGCGGACTTCGGGGGCCTCCTCTTCGCATCATGCTATGCGTCCGGAATAATTTATTTTATGAAAATTATTTTTCTTCATTACTTTTCAAAAATTGCAAAAATATTATATATATACACACGTACATGTAAAATAAACTACCAATTTTATAAATATATCATATACTTAAGTCGTTTTTTAATATAAAATACGTTTTTAATCATTGTTTCTTGGCTTTTTCTTTTAAAGTGACTTTCTATAAAATTAAAGGAAAATCCGTAAATCCTAGAATTGATCTCTCATTCTAATTATTTTCCAGGCAGAAAGTTGTTCGGCGGTTACACGATAGTACCGAAGGCATGCCGGCCGTCGTTGCCGTCGCGCATCAAGTCGAGCGAGCTGGCAATATGCATGTTTAATTACGAATGCACGCGGCGTAACGGCGAGGTCGTCGGCGCCTGCATGGACGGCTTCCTCTTCGGTGCGTGCTGCCAATTACCGCCAAAGAGCTCGATGAACGGCAACAACGATCGGCCCGGCACAGAGGAGCTTCTTCACGTACATCAAATCGACCACGTACCCGATATACCTATTCTTTTGAACCCGGACGGTACACCAGTTGGCATGTCGATGCCAACGAATGATGAGATCACAAAGACCGATAAGCCAAATGTTTCGAACAACGGTGAAACGACGTACACGAAGATCTCGAGTTCGAATCAAGATTCTTCGCCCGGCATGACAAACAACGCCGAGAAAATACAATTGTCCGAACAAGCGGACGTTAGCCATTTGGCCGAGAATTTCCCGGTTCTTCTGGGTCAGCAAGATGTCATCGATGATCTGAGATTGCCAGGATTGTTGATGCATTCAGATTCTAATAATGATATTCATGATCATCAAGATTCGTCGGCGGTGAATCCAGTTACCACATTGCTAAGTCCCGATCAAATTCTACAAATAGCAGACCCGGTTGACCAACTTCCGGCATTGTTCTCGCAGGGACTGAGCAAGAACAATCACAGCGATCCAGAGACGATATTATTAAACGAGAACGGTACGGTGCTCGAGGAGATCAACAATCCGGACGAGCTCTTCCGTCCCGCCACTGAAATGCCGATCGAAAAGGTTACGCAAGATGAGAGCACATGGATCAGATTCTCAGAGCAACCTACGTCTTCCACGATGGAATTAACATCCACGTCGCAAATTCCTAAATCAACATCCATGACGACAAAGATGCCTGTGGCGACTGAGATGTACACCAACGTGCAAAAGCTTACGAGCGATCTACCAAGTACACAATTTACAGACACGTTCGAGAAAATGACTACAATCGAGAAAAAAATGTCTACAAAAATAACGACAGATTCAATGAAGATCGAGGCCACCACGCCGATGACCACCTCCAGCATGAATGACGAGCTAATAAAAGTACCGACCATTATATACGATCTACCGTTGGGCAACAAAAAAAAGGATGACGTTCTTGACAAAGAAGAGATCGCCATTAATCACATAATTTCCATCTTGAACGATACCACGCCAAATTCGGACGTATCGGTGACTCTCCCGGTTCCCAATTCTTCGCCGGTTCAGGCCTGGGTGAGCATCGACGAGACCTCAAAGCCGTCCCATCACGTGAAGGTCAGTTCTTCGAATTATCGACCTACAACGCCCGCGTCTTCGACCTTTCCATACAGCTTCTACAAACCTGGTTCCATGAAACCTAAACCTTCCTCGACGTATTATAACTACGAGCTTGTACCCACCGAGACGACTTATCCATCGCATCACTCGACCTCCAGCAGTCCGTACAATTCACGACCATCCACGCAAACCTATTCCGGCACTTCCAGCAGCAGTTTCGGCTATTCCGGCAGTCGACCTACGACGAATCCTCCGGCGCCAACGGTGATAGTTCTCGGGCCTCTCGGAACGGGCTTTACCACGCAAACTACTCAGAAACCTGTTACGCGAAAGCCCTCCGGCGTGACTACGAAACCTGCTTCAATTTCGATTAAAACTACTCCCGTTAGACCTACCACGCTGATCACTAAGAAGCCGTCCGGCGTGTTTACTACCATAACTCACAACATTAGCACCGTCATCTCAAACGTTCCCACCAACAATGTGGTCTCGACCAGTTACATCAGCGTCAACCTGAAGGACGGCACGAGCGCGAGACCGATAATCGATGTCAGCACCGAGGCGATCGCCACGGCAACCGGAAGTACCGGAAGTACCGGAAGTACGAAGAATCGACCGAGCACGAAGAAACCTGTGATTTGGACCACGGTCTCCTCGTGGTCGGGCAAGCCGACGTTCAATCTGAAACCGTCGACGTCCAGCGTCAATTGGCCAAACGAGAATCTGACGCCGATCAATAACCTGGTATTCAAGGATACTCTGAAAGGAACCACCAAGTCCACTACCGCCGTGCCTTGCGAAGACGAGACTGCGGCGCCAGACGATCTCATCAACTTTCCGCCGGTGCGGAATCCGAATCTCAACATCTCCATACCGAACTTGCAGCAGGAAAAACCGACGATCGTCGAGACGTACAACAACACCGGATATCCGGATATCGAGCTCATCAGTGAGCATGACATCCCGACGCCTACGTTCGTCGAGGATGACGTGCTGACGAACAAAGTGGACGCTTTCGTTAACAAACTCGTCGAGTCGCTGCAGGGCAGCTTTCAGGTAACGAGATAATTTGTTTTTACTAGCGAGAGTTTTACGCGCGCTGTTTGAAGTTTCAGACCGCTTTGAGCTTTACGTAACTTAACTTTCAGTGCTTTGGGTGCTTGAGTGCCGCAAGCGAATAAATACGCTTAAAGCTTCGTTATGTCTTTCTCTCAGTGAGAGCTTGTTATTGTTAAATTTGTTATTCTCTCTTTGTAAACCATTATTTTTGGAAGTTTTTTTTTCATACGTTTTAAGCATTACTTTTGCTCGAATAAATAGAACGTAACAATTCGAGATAAATAAATATTTTCCTAATTTCCTAGTTTCAACGTCAAAAAATAATCCGCGTAATTTGTTCTTCTTTCTCGTTTGTTTCTTTAGAATCTAAAAGACATGGTGTACACTCGAAATAGCACCGTAGAGACTTCAACAACGGCGTCTACAGCCGTAACAAAAAGACCGACCAGTGGAAGTACTACGACGAGAAAACCAACGCGAAAGACTACGACAAAACCGACATCGTCAACAAGACCATCGCCGTCAGCGACAACGAAGAGACCTTTGTCCGTAAGCACGAAGAGACCCACTCGTCCTACGCAGAAACCGTCATCCGAAAAGCCAACACGTCCCACTAAAGTGACCACTCCGAGGCCTAAGCCGAGTATATCGCAGAACGTTACGACAAAGAGGCCTGCGGTAACGACGAGACGTCCGAAACCGACTAGAAAAGCGACGACTCCGCCGCCCAGCAGCACGGTGGCGAACGTTCCGTTGGAAGAACAGAATCCGAATACGACTGAAAGCAGCGTTGCCGAAACGGATGTCGCGCCGGACTTTCGGAATCGTAAGTGAGCAGTCGACAAGTCCGAAGTCCCTGTAAAAATTTTTATAAATAAACGATTCGAATATTTAAATCGGAATCACGGCCGTAGTGCTTTCTTCCCCACTTTTTCACTAAACCTATACATATAAAACCCCGTTTCAAGTCTCTCGTGAAAATGTGAAATACATTATTAATCGTAGTCGTCACGACTGTTAATTACGGTCAACATAATGACTTGTTGCGATAACACAGAATGCGGCGTGAGACCTTTGGTCTCGAGATCGGGAAAAATAGTCGGCGGAAAGGGCGCGCAGTTCGGAGAATGGCCATGGCAGGTTTTGGTCCGCGAGGCGACCTGGCTCGGTTTGTTCACGAAGAACAAATGCGGAGGTGTGCTTATCACCGATAAATATGTGATAACAGCTGCCCATTGTCAACCAGGGTAAGTCGGAAAAATTTATTTCAAACTTCCACTTAAAAATTGATAATAAAGTACGAACGGTTCATTTCGCGATTTATGCCTATGTAGATAATTATATTATTAACTTTATATAAATCTCTCGCTGTACAAATCGTTTCTACTGCCCGCAGCTTTCTGGCTTCTCTGGTCGCCGTGTTTGGCGAATTTGACATTTCGGGCGAGCTGGAGACGAAGCGTAGCATAACGAGAAACGTTCGCCGCGTCATCGTGAACCGCGGTTACGATCCTGCAACATTCGAGAATGACCTGGCGCTCCTCGAGCTAGAATCACCGGTACAGTTTGACGAGCACATCGTGCCGATTTGCATGCCGGACGACGGCATCGACTTCACCGGCCGAATGGCGACCGTCACGGGCTGGGGCCGACTTAAATACAGTGAGTATCGATCCTCGTTCGTCCAATTTATGGATCGCGAGCGCCGTTGCGTATACGATTCACGCGTTAAATTTCCCGCTAGATTAGAAAGTACGAAATAGAATAGGGGTTATCATGATGAGAGCGGAGTAACGACTTTCACGATGACTCTCGCGTGGCCTGCTACGCGCCCAAATTCTGTTCGCGTGTTCTACCGTGACTTTCTTTTCGCGCCGTTCAATTCGCCGTCAAGGCCCCGCTAACGGTATCGTTACATTCGACAGATGGTGGCGTGCCGTCGGTGCTGCAGGAGGTCCAGGTACCCATAATGGAGAACTCGGTTTGCCAGGAGATGTTCCAAACCGGCGGCCACTCGAAATTGATTTTAGATAGCTTCCTCTGCGCTGGGTACGCTAATGGCCAGAAGGATTCTTGCGAGGTAATCAAATGAGTTGCCTCCCTCTCCCCCCTCCGTATCCCATTAACTTTATTAACTGTTCCGGCTGTTAGCGGTGCCCCTTTGATCTTACGGCAAATAATACGATTACTCCGCCGACAGCACGTGCGAAGTTTGTATCACTATTGACATCCATAATCTACTCATTTTTTAATAATGGTCTTATTTTTCATTCTGGAGAGAAACACATTGAGCACATTAATTCTTAGCTTTTATCATAGAGTAACGCAATTACTCTATCGATTACATGCGAAAAATTTATATCAACAGCCTCCTTATTAGAATTTCATTTTATTTTTATCATTTTATTTTGGTGCACAAAATGTTTTTTTTTTTACTTTAAGAAGAGATCTTCGATATTCTTTCTCTTTCAATTATTATTAATATTAATATTACTATTAATTCTTTCAGTTTATTAGCCGCCGATGCTGCGATAAATGACTATCTTACGTTTCGTAACATTTATGTCAAAAATATATTTTAAATAAACAATTGTAGAGAACGATTGATGATTTTTCTTAGGGTGACAGTGGCGGTCCGCTGGTGATGGAACGACCAGACGGCAGGTGGTTCCTAGTCGGGACCGTGTCTCACGGCATTAAATGTGCGGCTCCCTATCTACCGGGTGTATACATGAGGACGACCTTCTTCAAGCCCTGGCTGCACAGCATCACCGGAGTCTGAAGAGCCGGGCCGATCGTCATCTCACGTTCTCGCGTAATGCGAGCGGCACCGGATGCCATTTTGTATAAATGTACAAAGGAAACTTAATTTATTTTCCCTCGAGATAGAGCGTACGAAACTCACCCGCAGACGTAACAGGACTTAAATGTCAGAGTTCTACATCGATTTCTGAATAATAACGAGACGCCCCGTTCTTTTATGCATCCGTGATTTCACGTTTTCCATTAGCGCAACGGAAATAACACTTGCATAAGCCACCATTTATACCGAGCAAGCTTTATTGCTTTATAAAAGCAGAAAGAAGAAAGAAAGAAAGAAAGAAGAAGAAGGAGGAGGAAGAGGAGAAGAAGAAGAAGAAACAGGAGACAAGTATACCAACGTGATGTCTTGAGTTATTTAAATTTCGAAATAGAATTCTTCGAGAATTGTTTGCGGCGAAACACTGCTTCTCGGCGCATAACCAGCGCCCGATGTTGCATTTATGCGTATCAATGTTTAAATTCGTCTTTATGCACGTGTTTATATACTCGCAGAGTCTACTTTGGATTTAGAAAGAATATCCATCAGAAATCCTTATCATTCTTGTAACGTCAGGTTCCTATTACTTTCTTCCATAACCGAAGAAACAGATGCAAATAATTCACGATTTGCGTCAATGTTCTATATAACAAACTCCTTTTACTAGTTCGAAGCCGATTTTTCTTTAATAAAAATCTTCAAGAAAAATCTTTTATTTTTAATAGAAATAATTTATTGTTATTAACTCCTATTGTTATTAACAATTCTATTAAAAAAAAATCGATTTAAAATGAATTATATTCTAAATTAACAATTTTCTTATCAAAATTAACGTGAACGAATTTTTAAATATATATATATATATATATATAATAAAAACACGAATAACTTTGAGAAAGAAAGAATCGCATGCTACTCCGCATATTTTATATCTCTGTCTGCTCCATGAAGATTAGCGCCAATTATGCGATGCATGCATAAAGACGAGCTCCAAGCCTTATTTATTTCATTGTTAGATGTTATTTATTAAAATACATTTTTATACGATAATAACATGTGGCTATTTTATTCACCACCAACACTCCGTGCACAGAAATAAAAGACATCAACGACTATTTGACGTCACATCGCCATGCAGACTACGCGCTGCAATTCTCCAGGTGATCCTTCCATTAAAAATAGCGACAAATATTCTCCAAATCGATCGAACTTTTAATATACTCATTATCATTACGTATGAACAACGTCATCCTTATGATAACATTGCTGCTTCCGGCGCTTCCTGTCTTTCTCTTTCCTTCGTTTGGCGCGTGTTTGAACTAAAAGGTCATTACAAAGCATCTGTGCAAATTTCGCAAAATTTTTATTCTACAGTAAAAACCAGAAATTTCTTTAAACTACAAATATTATTATGCATTATTATTATGTCAATAATATTGCCTCTCTCTTTCTATTTCCAGTTTTTCAGAATAAAACTAATTTTGTCGTTTTACAAAAATTTGGTCGTTTATTATTATGAAATTTGTAATATTCATAAGAATTTATTATTATTAATTTCTATACTTTCCTATAGTTTCCTTTTTTCTACTATTTTATACTTTTCTAAAATATCTTTAGTTTAATTTTAGAGTAACCCCCTTATCTCATTGAGGGTATGTTCTGTGCTTGTACGTGGTAGGGAAATTCTAGTAGAGTGTGCAACTTGATAGGGGGAACGAAATGTCGTGCTACCGATTAAGATCTTATGAATATGCACTCTTTGTTACGTTAACTACGAAGTATCTATGAGTGTTCAGGAAGAAATTTCTTAGAAATACAATTATGATTATTAATATTGTGTTACAACTGCAATTAGTTCTTGTATACTTCGCAAAATAGGAAATTTTGAAATCACGCCAATTGTCGAAGACATAAATTAATAATGATAAATTATGTTTCTCAATTGTGTTTTTAAAAATATCATTAATATAAATGCTAAAAAATAGACATTTGAATAAAAAACTGATAAAATAAAAAGCAAGACATATATATATATAAATTAACGAGAAATAATAATTTTTCAGACAAAAATAGATATTAAATTATAATATAAAATGTAATATAAATAATATTATAATATAAAATATTAAATATTAAATTATCTCGAAAAATATTATTTGAGATATATATATATATATATATATATATATATATATATATATATAATAT